GCACAGCTGACACCTTGTCCTGCCTCCCAGCCTCAGCTCCTTGCTCCTGAGGACTCTGATTGATCCCCTGGCATTCGGACCCCCGTTTGGACTTTGCATCAGATTTAAGTATATTGTGTTCGTGGCGACCAGCCAGCACGGATGCACACTGAAGTTACAGTTAGTGACACCCAGAGGGACAAATCTCGTCTTATAAAGTCCTCATGTGTCCCTGTGGTTGTCAGCTCTGGGTTGGGAAGGCTGGGGAGGGACCTCAGCGAGGTACAATGGCACAGAGTTTGTCCACCCTCCAGAGCAGCTGTTTTCTCCAGGGGGATAGATGTCTGGAGATCAGTTGTAGTTCCAGGAGATCTCCAGGCCCCACCTGGAGGCTGGTAACCGGTGTTCCTTCATTGAAAAATTGAGGACGTGGAACAGCGATCACGGGTGTGTGGGGGGGGGGGGGGGTTTGGGAATTTCCTGCATTTGTGCAGGGGGCTGGACTAGATGATCCTGGAGGTCTCTTCCAACTGTATGATTCTGTGATGTTTTGAAACTGCTGACTTTCAACTCCTCAAGGTCTATGGTAAGCAAAGCGGAGGTTATAGAGTCTAGATAAAGATCTTGTCAAGCGGTCCGTGTTTCCGAGCTTCTTGGTCAGACTGGCTCCTAATTGGTTTCAATCAAGTTTTTTTCTCCTATTTCGGGACAGACTAAAATTGTGGAACCCTGAACATCTACAAACCCACTTTCTGTGGTTCGGGAAGGCCCTGATCCAAATGTCGCTCCCCCTGTGAACTCACAAGGCGGGCTTGTAAAAGGTGCCGTTTCTCACCCTCATGTTGCCCCCCCCCCAAAAATCTTGATTGCTTAGGGTTGCCAACCTCCAGGTGGGACCCAAGGGGGAAAAAGAAGTCACGGTAAAACGCTGAAATAAACAAAAGAATACAAAAGTATAAACCGTGACCAGAAAATGTGCTTGGTCTATTTGTTTATAATCTCTTTAAAGATTTAATAAAGGACATATTAAGTGAATTCTTTGTATCCTATTTGTTCACACATGCCTCCAAACAGGTTTTACCATAGAAATGACATAAGTTATAAACAAAAACTTTCAGTCAAATGAAGATTAAAGGAGGTAGTTTGCTAATTCAGATGGCCACTGCGTCTTGATAGGAATGAGACCAGGGATGTCAAACATGCGGCCCGGGGGCCAGATCAGACCCCCGGAGGGTTTCTATCAGGCCCACAGTGGAACTGACTGTCTTCTGCTTCTTCTTCCAGTTCTGCTGCTGCTGCATCATTGTAGGTTTGCAGTTTACAGATACACACCTGAACAGCACACTCAAGATTGCAACAGCACAGACATTTTGATGCAATAATTCAGAGCAAGAGGTGTCAGTGATCAGACATTGTTAAATAAACAAAATATTGCAAGAGTGCTCATGTTTTAAGCATGTTTAAGTAAAAAAACACCCCATGTGTTTGTGTCCTTTATAAAGTTTATGTCTCCGCTACCTGACATTACATTTTATGACACACACGGCCCAGCCCAGCAAGGTCTCATTTATGTCGGATCCGGCCCACATAACAAATGAGTTCGATACCCCTGAATTAGACTCCAGGCAAACAGTCCACTGTTGTATTCAGGCAACCAGCGGAGCTGTTGTCACAATAGCAGTCGGGTGTCTGCCACGGGTCGACTAATGGGGCTGGCTGGAGCCTGTTTCGAGTAAATATTTTGGATATAAAGAAAAGAATTCTCTTAATATATTCTTTATTAAGTCTTTAAAGAGATTATAAACAAATAGACACAGCCAAGTGTTTTGAGAAAGAGGCCCAGGTGGATCTTCATAGCAGGTCTGAAGGTTGGCTTGTATGCAGTGTTCCCTCTAAGCTGAGTTAGCGTGAGCCAGCTCACAGTTTTTTTAGCCTCTGGTTCACACATTTTTGCCTTCGCTCAGGAAGGAGGGCTCCAGAGCAAACTAATTTATGCAGTAACCAAATCGCTCACTCACAACTTTAATGCCAGGAGCTCACCAAGTAGAATTTTTGCTCACAGGACTCCACAGCTTAGAGGGAGCATTGCTTGTATGTATGCAGAAAGACCCAACAACTTTATAACAATATGTTCATTTTAAAAGTCATCCTGTTAAACAGAGCTTCCGGCTGAAATGTTGCAAAGAGTTACTGTTGGAGTTATGTATAACCTCATTCTCTGACATTTTGCGGTGGGTCCCGCCTCCTGCGGCAGCCATTTTGCTGTTGTGCCCACCTCCTTGTGTCAGAACTCCAAAGGTGCCCGCGGGCTCAAAAAGGGTGAGGACCTCTGATTTCCCTATCTTTGCATGGCCCCATTGTGCAGATTTTTTTGCTCCATACAGTTGGGATTTAGATACACGATTGCTAGAAAAGTAAGGGCCGAGTGTGTGTGTGTGGGGGGAGTAAGGACCTGCATGGTTAACAAACAAAATAATGGAAGCTGTAAAAGGTTCCTTTAAGCGGTGGAAAGCTAGTCTCAGTGAGGCTTATAAAAGGGAACACAGGCTGTGGCAAATAAAATGCAATCTGTGATCAGGCAGGCAAATCAGCCAGTATCGTAATGCCCCTGTATAAATAAGAACATAAGAGACGCCAATGTTGGATCAGGCCAATGGCCCATCCAGTCCAACACTCTGTCACACAGTGGCCAGAAATACCAGGTGCCATCAGGAGGTCCACCAGTAGGGCCAGGACACTAGAAGCCCCCCCACTCTTGCCCCCCCCAGCACCAAGAAGACAGAGCACCAACATTGGCTTCTCTTATGTTCTTAACATCTTTAATAGATAACTGCCCCCCTCCTCTACATGGCATGTTTTAAATATAAAAGACAATGCAACAGTTCTGTGAAATAATTTCACAATCAATACCCGAGTGGTGATATTTCTTGTATATGAACGTAAAACTCTCCTTCACAAAACACTCTGTGCCTCTTCTCTGGTCATTTTCTAGGCTGGTGTGGACTGAAGCGGTGTGGGTGGGGCCAGTTGTACAGATCTCCCCCATCCTTTTGTGGTCCCCCCTGTAAGTGGAGTGCTGCTTGGATGGGCGGGAAAACCTGAAACATTGGGTCCAGCTTACGGGGTTGTGGCATTCACTTGCATCACAGTTTTGTGCCGGGTAGTCACGGAAAACTAGTTCTCATGTACTTCAGTCTGTTTTTGATAGGGAGCGCAGGGGAAGTTGTTGGTTCTGTATCTGCGTATGTTTATAGCTGAGGTTCAGTGCAAAACAAGGATATGCAGGGGTCATTTCCTGCAGGAGCGCACAGGAGCGGAGCTCCGGCAGTAAAGAGCCCAGGGGGTGGGCACATGCAACAAGCCCCACCCCCTGCTCCCAGCAGCCATTCAGTCAGAGCAAGAAGCAGCCAGGTAAGTTACAGAGCCCACTCTGCCCCTCCCCAGTCCAAAACAGTCCAGTGGCACCTTTAAGACCAAGTTTTATTCAGGCACAAGCTCTCCCTCCTCTGCGAGGACAGATCTGCACGTTCTCCCCCCC